CCAGGGAGTCTGTGTCCCTCCTCTGCCTGAGGACTCTTCTAGTGTCTGGAAGTGTACTTGCCTGCAAAGTGTGGTGAGGTTAACCTCCTACCAAGTAGAGCATGGGTCCTTGGGTAAATGCTCCAGCCTCTCGTTTTTCCGGTGAGGAATTCTAGAGTGTGTTCCACACAGTTTCTCAGCAGGTTTCAGAACTCTTATGATTGAGAAGACTCCTTGTTTCATGTTTCTTTTAAAAGCGAACTTGTCATTTGATATTTATATTAAAGCATCAGGAAATCTGGTCTAATAGTATCTTTCAGATGAAAAGAATTAGAGCTTCCAGTTTGTTGTTGGGAACTTTATTACTCAAAAAATAAAACAAAACAACAACAACAAAAAACCTTTATTGTCTTAGTTTGAATGCCCCGAGAGCAGACCTTGGGACACGCACTTGATTGAGGTCAAGTTATTGAGGAAAGGTGGGGGAGGTGCCTCAGAAGAGTAGATTAAAGGGAGTCTCGGAGACATTGAAAACATTTTCTTTATGGATCACTAACTGTTTTACTTATTGCATGTTTTACTTTAGTAATTTTTTTAAAAATAAAGAAAAACAAGAGAAAAAATAACCAACAGTACTTGCTAGACATATCTGATTATTCTACCATCACAGACTCATCTCTAAAACTCACCCAGCATGATCCAAACCCATTCTCCCTTTTCTCTCCATTTCCACTCTTTCCTCTGCTTTTCGTGTTGCTTTTCATGGTACCATCATTGTCTCAGTCACCTGGCCTGTCATACCTTACTTCTCCGTATTACCTGTCCTTGACAATTCATGTCAGTTTTTTCCCCAGTGTATTATACCAATTCTTTCATTTCCCCTGCCCTACACTCTACCTAAATTTAGGTCTCAAGACTGCCCTTTATGCCAACACCATTTGTTAGCAACCAACTGTCCCTTCTCCCCACCCCCCCAGTGTATGTGGCATTCACATTTGACTATATTGTCCGGTTTTGTAAAGCATATCACCCGTCTCCTTGAAAATTATAAGCTGCTTGAAGTAGGACCTATCTTCACATGTCTTTGCATCTACTAAGCCACGTAATACATTGTTTTGCATGTAATAATGCATGAAAATAAACTCATAAACACTCATATTTCTCTCCATTTATGACATTAATAATAGAAAAAGTTCAAATCATGTAAGGGCCATTCAAAAAATACTACGGAGCACCTGCTCTGTACCAGCCAGATATCAGGGGCTGGAGATTTAGTGCTGAACAACTGCAACAACACAATGAGAGTGTTCTATGCCCATATTCTAGAGAGAAAGACAAAGTGAAAAAGTAAATACATATATGATTATGAGTTAAAGGGCTCCGAAGAGAATAAACAGCATGGCCTGTGAAAGAACAATGTGGTGACCTATTTTAAATGGGCGGGCAAGGAAATCCTCTGGGGGGAGAACTTTAAGTTAAGGCTGAAGAAAGATACAAATCCTGTGCAAAGTCGGAGGTTCTGTGTGCAGGCAGAGGGAACAATATGGACAGAAGCCTCCAGGGTGAAAAAAACTTTGATGCACTTAAGGAAATTAAGGAAGATCTAGGTGGCTAAAACAACATGACCTGGGGCAAGTGGCCGATGGCAAATGTGCAAAGTAGTCAGACACCAGGTCACTGGGTCTTTGTAGGCCACCTTAAGTTTGTACTGGAAGAGCAGTGGGAAATTATTTAAAGGATTTACATTAGGGAGTAGCATGCATGATTTGATTTAGAATTTTAAAAGTTCACTTTAGCTTCTTTGTAGAAAACTGATAGTGTGGGGAGGGATGAGTAGGGAAACCAGGTAGTGGATTACTGAAAAGCCCAGGTGAGATTTCTGCACTTGGAAGAGGGGACCAGCAGACAGGACAGTAGGACAGAAGAAGTTAAACAGATCAACTTGAGATATAGTTTGAAGGTTGAACTGATAGACCTTGATGATTGATGGATTACATGTGGAGAATAGAGGAAGAAGTCAAAGATTACTTTCCAAATTTCTGGTCTGAACAACTGGGCAGACAGAGTGCTATTTATTAGGAAGAGATTGGGGGAGGAATAGTTCAGATAGTTCACTTGAGTGAGGAACAGAACTCAGTGTTAGATATGTTATGTTCACAATGCCCACTAGACAGCCAGGTAGAGAGGTCAGGTAGGCGGTAAAATATATGAATCTGCAGCTCTCAAGGGAGACGTGGAGACATGAACTGGGCACTCACAGAGGTATGTAATAGTACTATATAGGTGGTATTTAAAGACACAGGAAATGGGTTAGATCTCCTAAAGAGGGAGGAAAGAGGGCTCAGAATGGAGCTCTGGGGCTGTCCAATACTTGTGGTGGAGAGAAAGGAGCCAGCAAAGGAGACTCACAGTGGCCAGATAGAAGGGGGGGTGGGGCTCAAAAAGGTAGTATTCCAAGAATAGAGGCTTTCAAGAAAGAGAAATGCTCGCTCTGAGAAGCTGGTGGAGCCCATATTAGAATCCTCCTTACTGGGGAGGACTTCTTACCAAGGATAGAGATTACTTGGATTTCATCTTTTACTCTTGAGTCCTTGCTGCGCCTATTGATCAAATGACACATATTAATTTGATGACTGCATGTTTAAGTTCAGTTGAGGGTGAAGAATAGGCATAAGTTGTTTTGAGAAGTTCTCTTCTCCTCATCTCTCCTCCTCCCCCGACATGATCCTCACACTTGCCTACAAAAGCACTTATTAGAGAGATAACAGTATCTTCAGGCAACATTAAACACACTTTATTCCTACTGACTTAACAAAAGTGAACTGTTCTCTAAGCCTTGGAGGAAGGAAACTCAGGGCTAACATGGAGTATGAAGTAGTGATGGGTAGCTGTTTCTGGAAAGGTGGTGAAATTATAGCCATAATCATCACCACACTCACAGAAATAAGGTCGTGCCCCAACAAGTGCCCTACTGACCGTTACTCATCTTGATTATGCTATGAAAAAAATTGTGTTGAGTGGATTTCATTGCATAAGCATTTGGTGAAGGGAGGGAAAGAAAGAGGGAGGTGTTTAGGTCAGTGGCATGGCTAGAGTCTGGAGGGTATGGGAGTGCCTGAAAATGTTGTGGCTGCAAACGAGAGGGACGGCTGATTTCAGAATGATGACAACGTTTGCTAGTTGAGAACTGGGTTGAAATCAGCACATAGATCTACTCAGAAAGAAACACACCCTGAGTGGAAAAACAGAGCAGGACCCTTCACCATAGGCCCTGATAGCTACTTTTCTGGAAGCCACTTCATTTCATTTTTACAATAGATTTATCACACACTATTATTTGCCTCTTACTTTATTGCAAATAATGAGAGAGGGTTACTGTTCCTTTTGTTTGTTGACAAAAGAGTAAAAATAATTGGGTTGGGTGTGGCTAGGATATCCTAACATTCCACAGGTATCTCAAACTCCACCTGTCTAAAACTCAGTTCATCAGTGCCTGCCCATCATACACATTCACATGCATGCCCATACACAGGCATAGCCTCATTCCTCCGGTGCGTTTTTTCTCTTTGAATTAGCACCATATCCCCAGTTCCCAAACTCACACACTCTGACTCCTTCTCAGCTCTGCATTCATATTTACCAATACTATCACTGGGTTTTATTGGGTTCTATCTCACAGATATCTCTCGAATCTATTTTTTCCTCTATCCCTCCTTCTTAGTTTAGGCCACCACCATCTTGACAGGTACTGTTGCGGGAAGCCTTCAAAATTAGGTTTTCTGTATTCAGTCTTTTCATTTCACATCTGAAGCCCAAGACAAATGGGCTTTTTTTTTTTTTAAGACTTTTTATTTATTGATTTGACAGAGAGACACAGCGAGAGAGGGAACACAAGCAAAGGGGGAGTGGGAGAGGGAGAAGCAGGCTTCTCGCTGAGCAGGGAGCCCCACACGGGGCTTGATCCCAGGACCTGGGATCATGACCTGAGCAGAAGGCAGGTGCTTAACGACTGACCCACCCAGGTGTCCCAAGACAAATCTTTCAACTGCTTCCTATCCACCCCAGCACAGAGTTAAAAATTCCTAACCTGGTGTAGGATGTTCATGTTGTGTCCCTGCTTCCCTAGGCAGCTTCCTGTAATACTAACCTGTGTGTGAGCAGCTAAATGCTCCAGCCAAGACCCCTTCTCCCAGTTCCTCTGTCTGACCCCACCAGCATCATCCTTCATTCCTCCTCTCAAATTGCTCAGCCTAACTCACCCGGTCTCTTTGTCCTTCAAATCTCTCAAGTGTCCCTAAATCATTCAGAACTTTCTCTAGTTAGCAAAATTTGTTGGCTGAAAATTGTCCTGAAGGCTTGTCCTGCCTTGCTCACTGAGGTATCCTGTGGGCTTAGCATAGTGACTGCTCAATAAATATGCTGAAAAGAAGGAACAAGTATTTTAACGATGTGTCTGCCATTACAACTTAAGATGTGCTATTTCAGTTTGGCTTTAATGAACTCTTTCTTTCTTTCTTTCTTTTTTTTTTAAATTCATATAGTATTAATTAAGAACTGGACCTGCATCTCCTGCAAATACCAGCCTAACCCGTTATGGCCGTCTCTCTAGTTGCTCTACAACTTGAAGCACATCTGGATAGCACTGGGATAAAAATCGTCACCCAGTTCAGGTATGCTGTGCTGTGGGTCCCCAGTGCGTTTTCACGGGTTCATTGTGGTGTCTTTCTCTTGACCTCGTACTGGGTCTACACCCCTGATGGCAGGTGTATCCTTTGGCAACGATGGATGCATGGAAAGGAGGGCCATGGAGAAGCAGACGGAGATACCTGCTAAAGTGAGGCAAGTTGGTGCTTCCTTAACCCAGCCTCCCCGTTGGACTCTGCAACAGCCTAAACCGTGCTCCATTCAGTTTGCCCCGCTCACCCCTCCTCTGCCTCGGGAACGCAGCCCGGACTTTAGAGGAAGTGTGGGGTGGAAGGAAGTGGGCACAGAAGGGTGCAGGGCTCTTGAAGTGAGTAGCCATAACGTCTTTGTCACCGAAGCCTGCCTCAGGAGCTTTCAGGGAGTTCCTTTTGTTTATTTGGCTTTAATTTATGGCCCTTTGGTTAATTTCTCTAGCGGTTGCTTATGCCCTCTCGGCGCCCCCCTCCCCCATCAGAGATAGAGCTTAACTATCCACGAGAGATCCAGAGAGGTCTTCGCCTCCGTCCTGGTGCCCGAGTTTGTGGCTGGCCTTTTTTGGGCCACGCCAGGCAGGCCGCGGAGATCCCATGCTCGTCGTGGTGCGCGCGCGGCTCAGCTTGGGGCCACGCCGGTCCGCAGCCAGGCCTCAACCACGGTTCAAAGTTGAAGTCCGTGTCTCTTCCAGCTCCCCTCTTGCGAAGCCTGGGAGCCCAGAGTTATCCCGCGCTCGGCGGGCTGGGAGGCCCCGGCCCGGACTCGCGTCCGGCGCAGCCGAGGTCCCCCAGCGCCCCCTACAGCCGCGCGTGCGGTGAGACGGCGCAGGGTCCTGTGCCTCCGCACCACGCCCGGGACCCCACCCAGAGGCTCCCCGGGACTGCGCGAGCACCCGCAGCTCCTGGCCGCAGAAGCGGGGTGTGGGCCCGGCGGGCGTGCTGCATCCCAGATCAATCTCGATTGCTCCGCCCGCCGCGGCCCTACTTCCCCTCCCTTCCCCTGTCCCTCCCTCCTTCTCTCCCTGCCTCCTTCCCTCTCGCCCGCCGGCGCCGGACACGCTGCACTTCTCTTGGGGCGCTTTTCCCCTTGGCCGACCGTCTCATCCCGCGCAACTTTGGGACCGTGGCCGTTTGGTGTTGAATGTTCTCCTCCGAGAGCGCATGGCTGGGGAAGCGAGGTGCGGGCTCAATCCCCGAGGGGCCGCCGTCTGGGAGGCGGTGCTGCTGCTGCTGTGCCTGGGGGTCCCGACCGGGTGCCCCTACAACGTGGACACCGAGAGCGCGCTGCTCTACCAGGGCCCCCCCAACACCCTGTTCGGCTATTCGGTGGTGCTGCACAGCCACGGGGCGAACCGATGGTGAGTGGAGTGGGACTGGGCGCTTTGGGCATCTGAGAGCCGCGAGGGAGCGGCGCCTCAGGGATCCCCTGCCCAGTTCAAACTTTCCTCCCTCTGGAGGAGCCAGAAGGGGTGCGCTGCGACGGCCAGCCTGCTGGATCTGCTCGGGAAGCTAACTGATCTCCGGGTGGCACGCCTGGGGTGCGCTCTGGTGTAAGGCTCTGGAGCTGCGAGTTGGGGGCGGCGGGCTGGGTGTGCGAGGTGGTGGGCGGCGGAGGAGGAGGCTTGGGGGAGCGGCCCGACTGCCAGCTGCGAGCCTGTGGAGACCAGGAGTTCAGTGGGCAGCTCAGCTCACGTCTGCGCGCACGTGCACATTTCTCGCTTTAGGCTCATAGTGGGGGCGCCCACGGCCAGTTGGCTTGCCAACGCTTCAGTGGTCAATCCCGGCGCGATTTACAGATGCAAGATCGGAAAGAATCCAGACCTGAATTGCGAACAGCTTCAGCTGGGTGAGTTGGGTCTGGGACCAGGGGGGAACTAGCACAAGTCCTGGAAAAACTCACTGTTGCCTATTCTAGTTTAAAATGAATGATTTTCACTCTTAACTCCAAACCATCTAACCTTGTTAAAACAAAAGTGACTCCCTTCGTTCTGTCAACGTTTTTCTCCCTTTTGCTTATGACAATGATGATTGCAGTACCCTGGCAAAACTATGGAGAGGAAAGTTTCTTAGGATACATTCTCTCCACCTCTCCCTCTCTCTGCCTTATGTAAAACACATTTTAAAGTCTCAGCACATTAAAGATGGGATCCAGCTAGGCCATCACTTAAGCATTTTATTTCCATCTTTGAACTATCAGGCTTGTTAAAGAACAGGCTAAGGGGCCCGATCAGGAATAGCAGTTGGAATTGATCCCATATCCTGTCATTGAGCTTAAGGACTTTCTAAAAAAGAAAATGTTACAGTTTTATTTAGAATATGAAATATAAAAGAAGAGCACAAGGAAAAATTGGCATCTACATTGTTACTATAATTAAAATGAGGGCTAAAGTACAGTTGTTAATTTTTCTCTCCCAAAACTCTCATGTTAAATGGATACCTCTATTTGAAGTCATTTCTTAAGGTCTCTTCTTAGCTAGGTGACAACTTGAAAAAGTGTATTTTGATGGGGGAGAGGAGAAAGTTCACATTTCAAAGCCAAAAGCAACGTTGTTTTGCACAGATACATGGGGAAAGAAAGGGGAACTAATATTAATTTAGACCTATCTTGTTCTAAACACTGTTAGACACTGCTATATATGTTGCTCCCCCCCCCCACACACACACACAAAGCACCACTGGGTCATGGTTGGCATTGTTCCTACTTTACACATGAGGACTCTGTGACTCAGAGGGTTGCAAGTACTTTTTCTTAAGTTACTCAGCTAATGAGGGAATGATGGGACCTCAAGTCAGTCAAGTCAGCTTGGTTCCAAAGTCCAAGCCCTCTCCTTTCCTTTGTGCATCTTCAGTACAAATAAAATTAAATGAAGAGTCCAATATGTTGTCTGCCGAGCTGATACATCCTCTGCAAATGGTGAATAAAAGGTTACAACTGGTACTTTTTTCATATTTATCTTTGCTATAAATAGACCTTTGGGATAGGCTACAGCGTCTTTTTCTTTTAATATTTTATTTATTTATTTGTCAGAGAGAATGAGAGAGTGAGAGAGGCAAGCAGAGGGAGAAGCAGGTTCCCTGCTGAGCAAGGAGCCGGATATGGGACTCAATCCCAGGACCCTGGGATCATGACCTGAGCCAAAGGCAGATGCTTAACCAACTGAGCCACCCAGGCATCCCTAGGCTACAGCATCTTTAACCCCTTTTTCTTTTTATAGTAGTCTTTGCTTTTTCTCCAACTGGGAAGCTGGCTTCCCTCATTTAGAGTGAATTCAAAGAGAGTATGCGCATAACTCAAGAGAGCATCCATAAAAGTCTAGCAGTTGTCTGTAGCATGTAGCCTCTCATTAAGTATCTTCCATCCCAAAAGGCAGACTAGGAAGGCATGACGTTCATAGACCTATCCGTTTGGAACAATTCTGCAAAGCATGATTTTCATGAAAGAGTTGTGGGATGAAGAATTAGGGAGTGGAGGAGACAAACTCGACTGCCAGAGGATCTTGACAGAGTCTCGGCAAGGAAGAGTTTCCTTTCTGTTGTCCTCTCAGTTTCCTGATCCATGGCATTGTAACTGCTGGTATTTAACACCTACTTCCTGTCTGGAAGGGCACTGAATTTATTTCTAGATGGCTGCGTTTAACTGGAAAGATCATGTCATAATATCACACACAATTTGAGATAAGAACGCCTGTCAAAATGGAAGGAAAACCTAACTTCTGGGGCAAGTGGAGCTTACGGATTGACTATAAACCTATCCTCAGAGAAATATGCACATGGTTGATGTGCCAGAAATGGGAATTAAGTGAAGATTTATTGGATGGATAAGTGAATAAAGGCAAAGTGAAAGTTTGATTGCCATCAACCTGATTGATGAATAAGAGAATTAATTAGAAATGATAAGCCGAAAGACATTTTTAAGTTTCACAGTTTTAGTCAACAAAAAAAGGTGTTGACTGAGATAAAAGGCAAAAAGGAAGACAAGTTTTCCGGTCAATCAGTCAGTTGAAACACTCCTAGCTGTGGTAATAGCTTGGAATATTTGCAAAAGATTTGACTGAAGTTGTTTCTCAGGTAACATTTTAAACAATATATCTTCTATTCCTTCAATAAACAAATTGTGTGTTTCTATTCAGAACAAACTCAGAAGTAACCTGAAGCTGTAAAATAAGGGATTGGGGATGAAGTCTAGAAAGGAAACACTAAAAACAATAAATTGGTAGTGAAAGACATTTAAGGATTATCAGGTTTGTGGACTATGTACTATTTTCTCTAGAAAAGCTTCAAGAAAAAAATATGTAACCATAGACACGTACAGTATTCTAATTCTATAGATTATGAGAATGGCTTTAGTTATCCTGTCTCAAATGGGGGTAACTATACTGTATAGAAAATCCTTAGCTGGATACCTGACATATAACAGATATTTGAAAATTATTAGTTTATTTCTTTTTATCCCTGTGTTCTACTTAAAACTATATCTGTATGTTATCTGCTGTAGTCAGGTTGAGGTTAATAAATAGGAACAATTAAGAAACTAAACAGAGAGTTAAGTGTGTAAAGTAAGAGGTAACAGTTGAGATGAAACATGGTAAAAAATATTTTCTTGTTGACCCAACCACAAAAACCTTATAGTAGTAACTAAATATTCAGCTATGATGGCCATGTCAGTACGGTGTTTTCTTTCATTTGGAATGACTTAACTTGCTATCGAGGAGATGAAGTTGGAAGATCTCTTAAAATGGTGCCCATCTCCTAGTTAAATACTATCCACATGGACTGGTCTTTAGGTCTCAGAATTTCACATCAAACTTTGACTCAGATGGACTCCTCCTCTTGAAAGAGGAGACCAGTACCCTCCCATTACATGCCACCATCCCTGGATAATGTTGTCACACGCTGTGGTATATTCACTGAGGCCATAATCAGAAGTGAGCAGCAGATGCCCATTTATCTAGAATGTTCAGGGTGTAAGGTGTTGAGAGTAAGATACCCCTTTTAGTGAAGAGAATTGACTTTAGAAGAGGTGCTTTTTGTCCTGCATGCAAACAGACTGCCTCCACCTCCTTGCCTGCCTGAGAAGTGTCCTCTCCACTCAGTTCTTTGGTACTTCCCTCTATGAACCAAAGGAAGGGGGTTTCCCCATCAGGAAGGTCTGAGCCCAGTCTTGTTCCCAAACACATTGTATCTGAGGAGGCCATAGTGATTTCACATGTCCAGTTGCTTTTCCACTCAGGCATTCTGTATCCTTGCTGAGGCTTTTTTAAAGGAAACTTTGATCCCACATGGTTGCTAAATTAAGGCATTACAAATAATGACTCCATTACTATATGGAATCATAGACTTTCCATGGCTTACCAATATTCAAAGCATTAGAACATAATAAAATACATAAATGATTATAAAATTATACTAAAAAGATTGTCTTTATTTGGTTATTCAGAAGACATTCCAGATTTTTATTACTTTGGAGTCACCACTAATAGCATTATATGCATGCTACACACACACACACACACATGCACAGACACACATACACACACATGCATGCACACACACATATACGTACACACACACACATACACACACATCTGGGTAATAGAATCTAAAGTTAGATAGTTACACTTCCCAGTATGGTAACCAGTAGCCACATGTGGCTCTTGAGCACATGAAATATAGCTAGTTTGCAGTGAGAGGTGTTGTAATGTAAATTAAATGATGGATTTCAAAGACTTAGTGCAAAAAACAGGATATAAAACATCTCCTTAGTTTTTTAGATATTTATTATATGTCAAAATAAGTATTTTAAAATTAATATTGATTACATATTTAAATGATAATATTTTGGATGTGCTAGGTTAAAGTCTATTTTTAAAATTATTTTTATTTCATTTACTTTTTAATGTGACTACTATAAAATTAAACAGTTCATATGTGGCTTGTATTATAATTTCTATTGGACAGCACTGCTCTAGAGAAATATAATTCCCCTGCATGAGAAAACACTAACTTTTTAACAGGTGCTTTCCAAGTGTCTGTGCGTAAATGAATAGGACTTTCACTTTTCTTTTCCAGACCAAATGCTGCCTAATTACTAGACCTTTAAGGTTCTTGCTTGTGCTTCTCTTTTCTTTACCGGAAAGAACAATGATCCATCACGAGTTGATCATCATTATTCCCCTTCAGATTTCTTTCTAGAATTATATCACCCTAGCCAACCTCCGGGGTTATATTACACAGCCTATATGGAAGAGGTTAATTAGCATTGCATCGTTAAACTAATGATTACCTCATTCTCGCTTCTGCCTGATTTGCAGGAATTATTAGCTTAACATTAAAAGGCAAACCTCACACTGTTGAAACTTCAAAAATGTTCTTGATAACTTTTCTTTTTCATTTGCAATACTCTTTAAATTGTACCTTATGAAGCTGAGACTGATACAGACTGGTCATTTTGAAAAATTGCCCCTGAACGTAGGTTCTAATTATGCAGAAAATCAAGACAGAGAGCTTCATTAATAAACTATCATGTTAAGAGAATTAAGTTTCCTGATTTCCAGCAATTTCCCAAACTCCATCTCTAAAAGAATGGCTTCCACCTAATTTGAGAGCTGAGATTTTCTAAATGCATTTCATTTTTGCCTTAAGTTTACCAGATCACTGAGTAATATTCCCACTGACTACATATATCTCCCCTAGGCAAGAGTTCTAGAGCCAGATAGTCAATCCATTGTACGTGTGGGTCATTCATTCATTCATTCATTTACTGAGGGGTGCCAAAGGGCCAGAACTTGGACATAGGAAAGAAACATGGTCCTTGCACCGAGGAAGGTTACAGTCTATAGGATAGAT